AAATTATAGAATATATAGAATATATAGGTCTAGAAACTAACGTAGAGTTAGTGTTATGGACGATGACTATAGATGAAACTCTTTCTGGCCCAACAACATGGATGGTTTCAGCTAGTTCTGGATCCTGAAAGAATAACAAAGATCATAGCCTGCAAGTGTGGAATGATTGCCTTTTTAATGGTGACGAATCTTAGAAATTGCATCTTACCATCAATCTTAAATGGCTCAGTTCCTAGTGGAATAAAACGAAGAAAGCAAAATAAAACATGTGTGGTTTTTATCAAAGATTGGAACGGCTTTACGAATCATAGAGAAATCATTGACCCAAGATAGATGATGTGAAGTCTTGAAAAAGTCAACAATGGTACCCCAAGTTTTTTTAAATTTTATTTTCTGGTGTTCTGATCTACATATTTTAAAATATTTTTTGTATATTATTTGGACTTTAAAAAATACCCATAACCTCTTTGCGTCTTAAGAAATCAGGCTTGAGAGTTATTGCCCGAAATGTCTAATATTTTTAAACCCTTGTATTATGAGTTTGCCCGCGATGTGAACACATAAAAATACAACACATGTACATAATTTCGACCAAATAACCACACGCCATCAGCGCCGTTTCTTTACCTAGGTCTGAATAGACCAGTTAGGGTTTATCTAACGTGTCCTTAAATTCAGTAAATACTATTCTTCTTTTGATACGCAGAAATCTAGAAACTTCAAATTTGCCCTTTTATGATAAGAGACTTTCTTATTAAAAGACAAAAAAAAACTTTTTTTGTTTTGGAAAGCACAACTCCATAGGGCTGAGAAAGCTAATCTCCCCTGTTTCTAATATAAAAGGATCGGTTAATAAGGGAATTGTGTGGTTAAAAAAAGAGACTATGTCACACCTATGACGGCTCCCATCCCCCAATGCGAGTTGAGAGGTCGAGACTTTGAATGAAAACCTTCATTGCGGTGTGAAGGCCTTTGTCCCCACGTCGACTCCTTCAGGTACACAATGCAAATACAATAACAAATTATTTTTTTTTTGTTTATTGCTGTCGTTGTTTGAATCTAGAACAAGCCTCGTCCTTACCAAGCTACAAGTTGGACCTTCCTGAAGACTTGGAAGCCTTGAACACTTGCTTTGAAAGTACACTTACTGGAAAGGAGGGCCTGGAGGCTGCCAAGGGGGAATGTCAGTACGACGAGGAGGAGGAGGAAGAGGAAGACGGCATTCCCCAAGGTACAGTTCAATGTTGTTTCTCCTTTCAAGGAACTGATCATCATAAATAGAAAAGAGGGTATGCCTGATTGATGGAAAGTTGGATGTTTGATTGATGAAAAGTTGGATGCCTGAAGTTTTATTACATCTAGCTTAATCTCCCTAATATTTTTAGGAGAACTATAACAGCGAGTTCAGGGGGAAGGAAAGCGGTTTCTTAACTTTAATTAAAACATATACAAAGTTTTGACTTCAAAACTAAAGATTATTGATAAATGCAGTATTTCATGTGATAAATAGACCCAGATGCGACCTGCATATTTAACCACATACCACATCTAATGGAACTAAACCGTCGTCCACGATGAAAGGGGGTGGGGTAAATTTAAATTCTATTTTCGTCGTCTGCTCTTGTTTTCAACAATGGATTTTCTTTTGGGTCTCAGTATAGAAGCACTACTTACTGTTCGGCATCTGTGCACATGGCAGAAGCGATCTTTTTTGGTGAGTTTTAAAAAAGGTGCACGGAAGTGCTATAAAAATCAACCCAGGCGTCAGTACGACAGAGGAAAGCAGTTGGTAGCAAATAGTTTCGAAGCTCTATAGACAGATGAAACACACATTTTTTAAAGACACCTCATGAGGGTATCTTTTGTTTTCTCCATCTAGTAATAACTAACCCCTACTTTTCATCACAGCTTTACACAGTATCACCTTGTCTTGACTTGACTGACGCCTTCTTTTCAGGACAGCTATACCCACTATCATCTCGTCTTTATTTAACTGACCCCTTCTTTTCATCACAGCTTTACCCAGTATCACCTTGTCTTGACTTAACTGACGCCTTCTTTTCATCACAGCTATACCCAGTATCACCTTGTCTTGACTTAACTGACGCCTTCTATTCAGGACAGCTATACCCAGTATCACCTTGTCTTGACTTAAGGTACGCCTTCTATTCAGGACAGCTATACCCAGTAGCACCTTGTCTTGACTTAACTGACGCCTTCTATTCATGACATCTATACCCAGTATCACCTTGTCTTGATTTAACTGACGCCTTCTATTCAGGACAGCTAGCCCAGCATCACTTTATCTTGACTTAACTGACGCCTTCTATTCATGACATCTATACCCAGTATCACCTTGTCTTGACTTAACTGACGCCTTCTATTCAGGACAGCTAGCCCAGCATCACCTTGTCTTGACTTAACTGACGCCTTATATTCAGGACAGCTAGCCCAGCATCACCTTGTCTTGACTTAACTGACGCCTTCTGTTCCCAACAGCTAGCCCAGCATCACATTGTCTTGACTTAACTGACGCCTTCTATTCAGGACAGCTAGCCCAGCATCATCTCATCTTGACTTAACTGACGCCTTCTATTCAGGACAGCTATACCCAGTATCACCTTGTCTTGACTTAACTGACGCCTTCTATTCAGGACAGCTATACCCAGTATAACCTTGTCTTGACTTAACTGACGCCTTCTATTCAGGACAGCTATACCCAGTATCACCTTGTCTTGACTTAACTGACACCTTCTATTCAGGACAGCTATACCCAGTATCACCTTGTCTTGACTTAACTGACGCCTTCTATTCAGGACAGCTATACCCAGTATCACCTTGTCTTGACTTAACTGAAGCCTTCTATTCAGGACAGCTAGCCCAGCATCACCTTGTCTTGACTTAACTGACGCCTTCTATTCAGGACAGCTAGCCCAGCATCACCTTGTCTTGACTTAACTGACGCCTTCTATTCAGGACAGCTAGCCCAGCATCACCTTGTCTTGACTTAACTGACGCCTTCTATTCAGGACAGCTATACCCAGTATCACCTTGTCTTGACTTAACTGACGCTTTCTATTCAGGACAGCTATACCCAGTATCACCTTGTCTTGACTTAACTGACGCCTTCTATTCAGGACAGCTTTACCCAGTATAACCTTGTCTTGACTTAACTGACGCCTTCTATTCAGGACAGCTATACCCAGTATCACCTTGTCTTGACTTAACTGACACCTTCTATTCAGGACAGCTATACCCAGTATCACCTTGTCTTGACTTAACTGACGCCTTCTATTCAGGACAGCTATACCCAGTATCACCTTGTCTTGACTTAACTGAAGCCTTCTATTCAGGACAGCTAGCCCAGCATCACCTTGTCTTGACTTAACTGACGCCTTCTATTCAGGACAGCTAGCCCAGCATCACCTTGTCTTGACTTAACTGACGCCTTCTATTCAGGACAGCTAGCCCAGCATCACCTTGTCTTGACTTAACTGACGCCTTCTATTCAGGACAGCTATACCCAGTATCACCTTGTCTTGACTTAACTGACACCTTCTACTCAGGACAGCTATACCCAGTATCACCTTGTCTTGACTTAACTGACGCCTTCTATTCAGGACAGCTATACCCAGTATCACCTTGTCTTGACTTAACTGACGCCTTCTATTCAGGACAGCTATACCCAGTATCACCTTGTCTTGACTTAACTGACGCCTTCTATTCAGGACAGCTATACCCAGTATCATGTCGTCTTGACTTGTTGCTTCCCCTTAACTATTTTGTAACTTACAAATATTTAAAACCTGTAAACGTAGAGACCTACTTTCTGTTTTCAGAAGCTGTAATGCTTGTTAATACAATATAATTTCCATGTGTAAGTCTACAGAAAAAATGATTATATACAAGCGTAGCTGTAAATTTTATTTTTCAATACTTGAGTACATTCTTCTTCTTAACTTCTCTCGTTCTCAAGTAATATCTGCAAGAGCTACTTCTTAGAATCCTCAATTACTTTCTAATAAGAATCCTCATATTTTTTTGATAACTCTGACCTACATATTGTTAACCTCCAACCAGCTGTGCGAGCAACCCTACCGCACCAAGAGCCAACCACAAGTGCCGAGATCTTAAAAGCTTTACACCTTCAACACATGGAGAAGATCGTCCGTAGCGTGAGCCCCAGCAAGCTGGTGACGCACCTGAACACCACGGGCTACCTGAACCACCAGTACGACCTGCACATGAGAACATCTCTGGACCAACAGAACCTCAAGTCAGGCATGAAAAAAGGCGTGGAGAGACTGTACTCTATTCTGCCTACCTACACCATTTAACTTTCATTATTTGTCATAAATCCGATGAAAAATGAATCTTATGATAAATATACGTTCTATTATTTCTATCTTAATATGACACAACTTTTGCAAGGCCCCATCATTTTTAAAACATTTCTACTGTGAAGTTTCGTTTTATACTGAATGAAATAACTCTATATATGTAATCTCTGCATCTGTACAGAAAAGTAGTAGAATTGTATAAAAAAAAAAGTCTTCCAAATACGAGCTGTTCTTTTAAAAAAAAAGTAACTCTTTTGTCATTCATTTTGAATGAAATTGTGGATGAAATCAATTCCAGCCACGTGATGGACGTCTGGTTTGCTTTTCACGAAATCTCTTGCACAAATACATTGTGTCTTTATGTACAGCCAGGTCACGCATGAATTATTTTGTCTTAATGTTCTCGCAAAGCTTTAATGATGCAATATTTACAATACATGTACAGCGGGACTCTACTTTGATCGTCCTACGACTCTATTTCATTTTGACATTTGGGTTACCTTTGTAGGTAAGCTTTTACAGACTAGAAAAACTCTTTCTGAATTGTCTAAAAAAAAATTATTTTTTAAACATTTATTTAAAGCCTTGTGTAATTTATTATTGTTAAATTTACTCTAAAATGCAATTTATATTTTAAAAAAAGACAAAAACCATATAAATGTTACTATTCAGTGTCAATTTTTAATTTCATTGTTTCGTCAATCAATTTGATAATACTGAAAGTGTTTTTTTTTATTTTACTTTGTGGAGGTGAAGGTTCAATGAGACATGTAAGATAGTTTGACTGCTGAAATAATTGAAAGAATGCCAAATCAATTAAGGTTTAGACAGTGCCTCGGTTTTTTTGTGGTCATCCGAGTGTGGACAGTACAAGTAGACAGTACAAGTAGACAGTACAACCGATACCAATCAATCGAGAACATTAGTTCTAGTAGGCCTCACCTCTTACCTGCTACGTCGCAACCTGTGGGTAGTGGAGACCAATAAATAGCTCGTCGCTACGTTGTGCTATGAGGTAACTGCGATATGGAGTTACGGGCTAAAGTCATATAATCGTTACTTTCTCTAGATACCTCAAGTACATATCACGCAGCGCTGCACATAAAATGAATCCCTATGTCATGTAGGCATTTCTTGTTAGCTTCAGTGAAATTATTAAGCAAATATTGTTACTTTGCAAATTAAAAAAAATAGCAACACACATTTAAAAAAATACGAGTGAATGTGATTATGGGAGAATGTGACTATGGGAAAATGTGACTATGGGAGAATGTGACTATGGGAGAATGTGACTATGGGAGAATGTGACTATGGGAGAATGTGACTATGAGTACAGAAATAATCGTTAATGCCAAAAAGTCAAGGAATAAATAAAAAGTCATTGATGAAAAACGTGAGTGGATACCGATGTAAACATGAACACAAAAGATTGCGAGAGAGCTTTAAATTAATATCATCTTTTTAGCCTACAAAATAAATTGAATTAAGCACGTATATACATCAAAATATCTGCAAAATGTATTTGGGCAAAAAAATGGAAATGTATGAAATGAACGAATATCATGTTCATGTTTTTTTTGTTCAAAAATACTTTTGCATAACAGAAGGAAAATGTAATTCCTGTTTTCCTTGGGTACATACAATAGTCTTTGTCCTGTTCCCTTGAAACATAAGTTGGTCAATACATCGAGACATTGTAATGAATGGACTATTATTTTCGTATTCACGAAATCTACAATGTTTTCATAACTGGAGCCTGGATTCAAGTGTTGAGAGAAACAACCCCAACACAATGGTTGCTATGCAAGTCATCACAGTCAATACTATCTGCAGAACAGACTGAGTGCCATCTGTCACAAGTTGTTCCAGTGAATGACACTATGGCACATTAAAATATAACAGGTGGCAGCTAGTGTGGTCACTAGCATCATGGGGAAGCCAATTCTGTAATGAGAACAAAGAAATGTGAGCACACTTAAACCCACTAAACTATCTCATTTCTAATTTTTATCTGGAGAAACTATCTTATTTCTAACTGTTACCTGGACAAATAATTTTGATCGATCTAGGAATGAATATTTTAAGTTCAAACACTAGTGGCTACTAAAACTGAGTAGGTATATTTAATTTGAAGCCATGAGAACAGTTAGTTTATCATTGTGGTACTATAGGAAGTTGTTTTTATTAACTTTCAATTCTAAATGATTGTGAAACTTAATTATAGGTCGGGTTGGTGAACGAGAAAACGTGAAGGGAGTACTTCCGGGTACAACTCAGCAGTCGCCTTGTTTCTACACTGGGTAGGCTATTCAGGGGGTGTCATGGAGTGTGTGTGTTTCTATGGTGACGGTGGGAAGAGGTTAGCGATTGGTTGTGAATGACGCAAGATAGGTGGCAATGTCGTCATTGCTTTTAGTAATGAGGCGACTGCAGAACGTGAGACTGAAAGGTTGTGTTATAGTAGGGAGTTATATTTTGTTCAGAAATATTATTACTTTAAGTCTAGTACATTAGATTTTTATCTCATATCAACTTGATTTTGTTTCTATTACAATAAAAGTTATGTTTCGTTTTGTTCACAAGGAAGTTATTCAAGCTATTTGAAGTTTTATTAGTTAAGATATATTACCCGCACAGCGGATATAGTTGTCTACCAGCAGTTTGGTGCTACAAGTCAACGACCTGCAACAACAGGGAGAGGGCTGTAAGAAGATTTCCGTGTTGCCTTAGAGCCATCGACAAAAACATTTGAGCTGGAGTCTTAATTAATAATTTCTGGTTTACATCGAGAGTCCGATTCGAGTCTCTCCCCCCACCCCTTTCCCTGTTAAGTAGCCAAACGGTTCATGTCTCAGCCACACATCTCGATTCGCTTTAGTCTTCAGATTTAAAATAAATAACAACATAATGCAAAATAGTTGATGCAAAGAAAACTGGCCAATGAACTTACTTGAAAAACTCCCAGAAAGTAAAGCCGTAGCCGTGTTGTTCTGCAATACCAGCGCAGACGACATTGCACGAGGCACCGATCAGGGTACCATTACCTAGAACGAGAATTCTGATAACATATCCACGGTTGGTGTTTCACAAGTAAAACATTTAAAATATAATGTAAATGTCAATTTAAGGTAAGATGTAATTTAGAAAGTTAAATCTCAATTATCCCGAAAACAATGTAAGTTAGAATGCAACCATTATTATAAATCTTTTTTAAATATATATATATTTACCTCCAAGACATGCGCCAAAAGCAAGAGAGGTAACTAAAGGGATTAGCGGAAGTTGTAGATCTTTGTCTTCACTCAAATGTTGCAAGACAGGCACCTTAAGAAACAACAACTTACAAGTAAACATACACATTTCTCTCCCTTATTATTATCATTATTTGGACTATGTATAGATTTTCTCCCTTTCCCCAACTCTCTGGTTTCTTCAATATATTGTTGAACTAGTTGCTTTTGTCTTTCGAACTAATACACTGACGAGGTCGGAGACTAACAAGTCTTGTCCTACGGTAGAAAGGTTTAATGGATATTTGTAACAAAATGTAATCATTGGTAATGAGTATATGAGTAATGGGCTAATGACTTTGATAATTTCTTCTTCTTCCTTCTCAATTTACATGTCGGAGGTTCAGATCAGTAATCCTAGATTGGAGATTAACCGCGCAGTGGTTTCCAGACCAGGCAGTTCTAATTGATGCTAAAGTTAATGTCGCTTAAGCGAGCGAGCTCATAAATATTATGTTAACGGATAGCTGCTTGATCTTGTGTTCTAGACTGTCGTTCAATGGTCACAGTGATTACGGGTTCGAAACCTGCCCTCCGATATCCCACGCCGGGTTGCGGAGAGGGCTAGGCTTCAATTCTAAAGGAACATCCAAAACGTGCTAAAGAAACAATAAAACAAACACTAAAGCAAACAATGTAATACAAATAATGTAACACAAACAATGTAATACAAATAATGTAACACAAACAATGTAATACAAATAATGTAACACAAACAATGTAATACAAACTTACTTTTAAAAAAAGGACACTTGATTTAACATTAGGCCAATAAATACCCAAAATATAGCGCTAATTCTTTCAATGAACTTAATATGTAAACATTACTTAGACTTTTTTCCTCCTGCGCCGTACGGCGCATTGGGCGGCAAGCTGTCTCCACAAAGATCTGTCCCTAGTAATGTCTGAAGCTTCCTCCCACTTGGTGTCCACTGTTTTGATGTCCTCCATGAAAGTATGGCGCCAAGCTATACGAGGACGTACCTGTTTGCGCTTTCCTCGTATGGACCTACATGTCATCGCAACTCTTGGTATGCGTAGTTCATTTTGTCGGAGAACATATCCTGCAAACCTCATGCGACGCTCTGTCACAACCTCACTAAGTGTTTGATTCCCTGTTTGGCATAGAATTTTATTGTTTGAGACTCGATCTCTACCAACTGACTCTCAAAATTCGTCTCTACCATTTTTGTTGAGCCACATTTAGTCTTTTCTTAATTTTGGCAGATGACTTCCATGTCTCACATGCATATGTTGCTTTTGGGATGACGATTGTGTTAAGAAGGTGTATTTTTGTCTCGAGTCCATGGCCTGGCTTGTCCAAATAGGCTGCAGCCTTTGAAAAATGCTCCCTGCCTTTCCTATTTGGCAGCTACATCATGGTTAACATCCCCATCGTTTGTTATAATGCTGCCAAGGTATGTGAACTTGTCCAACTCTTCAAGCTTTGACTCGCCAAGTTTGACGGGGGCACCCTTTGCCTTATATCCTACTCGCAAACTTTTAGTCTTATCCAAGTTTATGCGGAGGCCAATTTTGGGTGCTTCTCTATCTAGGCTCTCCGTCGTTTCTTGTATGCCTTTATTTGTAGCCCCGATTAGTGCAACGTCATCAGCAAAGTCCAAGTCTGCCATTCGGTTTTGTTCACGCCATGGAATACCAAAAGCAGTCTGATTCATTGCTCTCCTCATTATGTAGTCGATAGCTAGGAGAAAAAGGAAGGAAGATAATATGCACCCCCTGTCTCACACCTGTCTCGATGCTAAAATTCTCGGTTGTTCGTTCTTCTGTTTTAATGTAGCAACTAGACTGACTGTAAAGGTGTCGTAGAATCTAAATGAATTTTTCTGGGATGCCATATTCACTAACTATTTTCTCGGTGGACATTATCAAACGCTTTCTTAAAGTATACGAAACTGATCGTAAGCCTTTGTTGGTACTCGAGACTTTGTTCTATGATATTTCGTAGAGCGAAGATCTGCTCTGCACATGATCTGCCTCTTCGGAAGCCTGCTTGCTCTTCTGTGAGCCTCTCATCTACAGACTGTTAAAGCTTTGTTGTTCTTTAGTACTGCAATGGCCATGGTAACCTCCTCAGTTGTTATTAGGTCTGTCTTGACCTTGAGATCATTGTCCGGAGAGGGGTCCTTGAATGTGTAAGTCAGGTCTGGAGACGGTTGGTTAATGGTCTCTTTAAAGTGCTCTACCCATCTTGCATCCTGTTCTTTTGTTAGCAAAGTTTTGCTATTATGTCTTTTAATGATGCTCATATCCACTCTTTGCTCCAGTGAGCAATGTAAACATTATAAGCAATTTTAACATTCATGCACAGTTTTAGCGTCACGGACAGTAAGGAACATAACTAAGCTCCCTTCCCCCTTTCACTGAGTATTGGTGTTGATGCTGCTCTAAGCTTCTTTTAAACTATTCAATTCAATCTTATAGCCTAACAATAAACTGCGTGGATTGTTCTTCGCTTTATTCAAGTACTTTTTCAAGTATACAAGTATTTCTTCATGAGACAACTGGATGGCATTGAGAAAGTATGGTTTGTCAGCTGCGTCATATTATTTATTTTTTTTTAATTTGAAGAGGACAGCATAAAAAACAACTTATTAATAGTTAGTTGCAAGACACTGCATGAGTCATGATTAAAAAGTACGTACACTGCTACATAATAGAATTTGTCAATGATCCTAAACACCTTAGTTTGCATTGAATTCAATCATTATCAGACATTGCACAAATAAAAGAGCAAAACATGTAAACAGAAAAAAACAACACATTTACCATAGCAGTGGTGTAAGGAATGTTGTCTATAAAGCTCGACGCTATCGCAGAGATCCAAGTGATCACCACGATGGCCAGAAGTAGCCGGTGTTCTGGACCAACTGACTTGATAATCTCTGCAATCACGTCACCTATTGTAGTGATCATCCCGAGCTCTGACAGTGCCTGAAACCAAGAACAATCAAAGATGTGGTCAA